ATTTAGATCCGGGCCCGGACCACGTAACAGCCTTAGCAAGATCTAGGAAGGGGCCACCACTAACCTCCGAGCAACGAAAACATGAAATACATGGATGGAACTTTTTCTCTTTCTGAATTTTTTTTTGGGAATATATTTAGGACGTTGTTAACATTAACAAACAGATTTATTACAACAGGAAAAAGTGTTGAGGGTCCTATAGAAATAAGAATGTGGTTGGAACTTGAAAGAATGTGATGTTATTACAGGAATACAGATATTTGTTGTGAAGAGGGGCGTTCTCTGTTTCCTCTATTGAAGTCCCTTTCTTATTTATTTCATGTCAGGCTGTCAATTTATTATCTGTCTCCACTAATATAATTCTATCGCTCTAAATAATACTACTCCATGACGGAGTAAACAATATTATCATTTGTCTCCCGATACTTGATATTTCTTACTAATAATTTGTACTTCTTTCTATCCACAATAAGTAAGTTTTTGATTATTTTTACACAAATTAAGAAATTTATCTTTTAGCATTAATTAGCAATAAAATTGATTATATTAACTTTTACTATCTCTTTACATAAACACTCCTAACACATATTTCAACACTGTTTACTCTAAGGGTAATATAAAATAATTAATTCATTCTTGAAATCTAGAAAAATCACTTATTTTGGACCATAAAAAAAGGCCAAAAAATACTTATTGTAGACCAGAGGGAATAGCAAACAATAAAGTATTTTATCATTAATAATATTATGAGAGAATTGCATATAAATACAGTCCACACATATACATTGCAATTAGGTGACTTACATACAACATTACAAAGTTGTAACCCAAAATTAACAAGCCAATATTTAATATCCAACCCAAATTGGTTCTCGAAATTGCTATTCAGAATTTTTTTTAAATGCTCAAGCTTCTAACCCAATCTTCGAATCAGTAATTATCACTCAAATATTAGTCCAACAAACTAAATCCATTAAGATTGTAAAAATTGGATTTTTAACGTAATCTTCCATTATTGAACGAGCTTAAATAAGTAGGTTTAAATTTCGAATATGATTTTATGAGAATCTTGGAATGGTTGTTATTTAGATTTGTTTTACAAAACTTGAAGTCATTTGATGGAATTTGGACCTGTTTGAAAAAGAATTAAACTCAAAATCACAGAAAAAGTTCGTCTAGAAACGCTTATACACTTTTATACATTTTTATACAAGTCAGGTACATTATGCATATAAGTGTACAAAAGTATATAAAGATATATATGCACCAACTGAAGCTCCCAATATTGACGCATAACTTTAGGGAAGGTAATGAAGTGGCATACCTGATGGCGAAGGAAGCAATCAAGCACCCCTCTACTGCCAAGTATTTTTACCATGCTCGTCCACCTTATTTTGTTGAACAAGAAGTATTGAGGGACAAGCATGAAATATGTAATAGTGTTAAGAGCATCTCTACCGGTGTATGTACTTATTTAGCAAGTATGGGCAATAGTAATGTTCTAAAGACTATATCCGCATTTGTAATGTGTTTTAAGTAATATAAGTTTCATGCCTTTTATGTTAAAAAATAAAAACAAAAATATTTTGGTGATAAGCTAGGTAGATAGGTGTATAAGAAGAAAAATATGGAAGAAATCTCTATTAAACACATGTAAATAATGTATCAATCTTGAATATAATTGTGATGACCCAAAAGGTCATCTTATATTTTAGAACTCGATTATGTATTCCGAAAACTTTAAAACATCATTTTATTTCTCCTAGATTTGGTGCACGATGCGGGCGTGTTTTCGGAAAGATTTTATGTTGAAAGTTGATGTCAGTAATAATTTTTGCCTGTAAAAATTAATTTAGTTACTTTAGGTCAACGTTTTGAGTAAATGAACCCGAACTCATATTTTGACAGTCCCGGTAGTCTGTATCGAAATATGGGACTTGGGCGTATGCCCGAAATCGAATTCTGAGGTCCCTAACGCGAGATATAAATTTTTAATGAAAATTAAAAGTCTGAAAAATGAATGATTTTAAAAATTTGGTTAATATTTAATTTCGTTAGTATCTGGTCCGCATTTTGGTTTAGGAGCCCGGTATAGGTTCATTATGATTTTTAAGAATTGTCTGTGAAATTTGGTGAAAAACGAAATTGGTTTAACGTGATTCAGACGTCCGGTTGTGAAAACAGGAATTTCAAAGTGTTCTTGAGAATTTCATTTGATTTGGTACTAAATTCGTAGTTCTAGGTATTATTTTGGAGATTATCGCGTGAGCAAGTTCGTATGATATTTTAAGACTTGTGTGCATGTTTGATTTTGGAGCCCCGAGGGCTCGGGTGATTTTCGGATAAGTTACGGATTGTTTTGAACTTAGAAATTTTGCTGGTGTGCTTTAGTTCTATTGCAGAGCCTCTGATCTTGCAATTGCGAGATCAAGCCTCGCATTTGTGACCATTGTTGGGTTCGCATTTGCGACCTACTCATCCTATTTGCGAAGAGTAGCTGTGGAAGCCAATGTTCGCAATTGCGAATAATTCCTCGCAATTGTGATGGGAGCTGGGGAGGGGTGTTCCTCGCATTTGTGATCACATAGTCGCAAATGTGGTCTTGCCCATGTTCGCATTTGCGAACAATTTCTCGCATTTGCGAACAATGCAGAGATGAGAAGGGGTTCGCATTTGCGATGCCTCCTCCGCATTTGCGGTCCCAGCGGCGGTTATTAGCCAGCTCGGATCATACCTTCACGGAAACTTGAGGTATGGCTATTCAGCACCCGCAACTCCTGAAGTCCCCATCCTCTGTCTATTTAGCTGTGTACTTTCATTCGAACATCTTGTTACATATTTCAGACCCTTATGTGTATTACTATAGTAGTTCGTGCACTCGTGGCACCAGATTTAGGGAATTGTAATAGATATTTGGCTAGTTCAGTTTCCGCATTATTACTTTAAATTTATTCAGTTATCTCAGTTCTTCTTTAATATCTAACTTAACTGTTAAAAGGAGTAGATTATTCTAACGTTGGCTTGTCTAGCAAGTGACATATTAGGCGCCATCACGATCCCGACAATTGAAATTTCGGGTCATGATAATAATAATGTATAAGAGGTGTTTATATACCCCTATAGTATATAAGAGGTATTTATATATTATTCTACAATATTACACATTGCTATACAAATAAATTCTATCGATGGAGCTTCATGTGTTCATCTTCTTTTTCCTTGAGCCTCTTCTCAAATTTAACTCAAATTTACTCCAAGTCACTTCAAATTTAAGTTTTAAACTCATTTTGATATTTTCAATCAAAAGACAACACCTAATCCAAACAACTAACAAACTCAAAAATCCTAATTTCTAAAATTAAAGCTCGAGCGACTTTTAATGGTGTACTTCTATTTTTCAACCACGGTAAAGTGAAATCGACTTCAGCTCGAAAAGAATGGCTCCAATATTCAAACTTCAGTCTGACTTTTTTAAAATCTCAACTTTGAATTCGAAAAAACCAGATAATGGAGGTTCAAATTTTTTTAAGCCTCTCAACATACAAGGAGAAAATTAAATAGATATTGTGATGTGATTCTTCGAGTTAACAAAGAATCAACCGACCAGGATCAAGATCTTGAAACGAAAACGTAGCTTGTCAGCCAATTTCAAGAAATAACGTTTCTCAAGTTTTAGGACTCAGAATCTGATGATTCAAAAACAAGGTGAAAGACAACAATCTGAAATATGAGAAAGACTATGTATTCACTCAAAACAAGTAAATATTGATGTTGTAAAGGTTCAATGAAAGTTCTGATTCTAGGTTATTAAACGAACGAATTTAGATCAAGAAACGTATTCTTGAATGATCAAGAACTAAAATATTCCTAAAGTCACCACTTGGAATCAATTAACATGATAAAAAAATACCACACGCAATTGAAAACAAGATAAAGACTACTACCACCTTGCTTGGAACCAAAAACAAGGATAAAGATGACTAAATAGAGAAAAACACTCTATTGCAAATTAGGGTAAAGCTCAAAACGTGAATTTCCTTCTACAAGGCATGAGAACTTCTTATATAGGCCTAGAGTTTCTTCTTTGATGACTATAATTCCTATTCTAATAAGGAAATAAAATTACTAAAGACAAGGAAAGTAAAATCCCTATTCTACAAGGAAAAGAAACAAGAATCTTACTAAAAGGAAAATCCTTATTTTAAAAGAAATAAAATAAATCATATTTTAAGAAGGAAAGAATCTTGGCTTCTTGAAAACAATCTTGAGCTTATTGGACTTCTTGCGCTTCTTGAAACTAAGTCCATATGTTTGTACTTGAGCTCTAAAATATGATCTTAGCCAAAATTAATAAAATTTAACATAGATTCTTCTTTTGTATCATTCTCCCCTTGTTGAGAAAGACTCTTCCTCGAGTCTAAAGACTCCACAAATGGAAAATTATTGACAACATCCATGATTTGGTTGAACTCATATTCGTCAAGCTCTAAGTTGCATTTTTCTAACTTGTCAAAGAGCTTCATCATATTGTAACAAAGCTTAGCATGTGGCCGAACTAAATCCCACTTTCTCAATAGTAACTTTGTACCAATAGTTTCTGCAATAAGTTCTCCTAAATAGATTTTCAAACACTAATCCATAATCATAAGTTATTTCCTTTTTATCTTTAGAAATCTTGAACTTCTCCATGTCAATGTGCTGCTTATGGGATATGCCCAAAAAAGTCAATTTAGTACCACAAAAACTTATAAAAGAATCAAATTCAAGTACCTTTGGATCAGGCTTGGAGATCGAAGTATATCTTCTTGAGAATTATTCAGCAACTCTCATATTGAACTAGATCATAACCATAGATGGAATTTGTGTAGAGATTTCTCGTTCCTATATATTCTTAAAATATTCATCCGTCGGGGCAAGAAAAAAACTAGAACAAAATATGAACTCAAACCCTCTATTATGGAGTCATTTTTAAGCAACCCTTCCTCTTGTGTTTGCAAAATTTAATGGACTTCTGGATTAATGCAATATGATGCCTCATTTGGAAGGATAGAATCAACAATCAAATTAATATTATGTTGAGCATCTCTATTAGGTGAAAAGTTAAGCTCACATATGGGATGCTCCACCAGGTCATCATCAAACTTCGGAGGTAAATCCTTAACTTGTAGATCCAGTTCATGCTTCTCCTCCTTGATTCGACTAACGTTCAAAGACTTTTCTCTATTGATTGGACCAATTATTCGTAATTTGTTCAAAAAAGAATCATCATTGAACTTCAGATTTTTAGCAATTTCTTCGGGATTCAATGGTACTAAAATAATCTTATATTCATCATTTGTAAAAGAATAAGTGTTAAGGTCTTCATCATATTTAGAACACCTATCATACACCCATGGTCTTCCAAGTAATAAGTGACAAGCATCCATCTTCACTACGTCATACCAAATCATATCTTTATAGATCTTACCAATAGAAAAAGATACCAGGCATTGACGAGTTACCTCTAAAATATCATCATCTTCAACTTCCATGCTGTAAGGATATGGATGAAATTTGGTTGACAAACAAAGTTTAATAACCATCTCTTCAGAAATGATAGTTATGTGACACCCTCGATCAATGACTAACAAACAAACTTTTCCATGAGAGGTACATCTAGTATGAAAAAGAGATTCATATTGTCTCGTTTCTTCATCTTCTTGAACCCAACGACCTTTTCTTGCTTGCATATTATGTTCACCTCCTGCTACTCTGATACCAAATTGATGTGATGAATTCATCAACCTGGGACCTATGGATTATAGCTCTGATACCAAATTGATGTGATTCTTCGAGTTAACAAAGAACCAAACTACCAGGATCAAGAACTTGAAACGAAAACGCGATTTTATGGGCCAATTTCAAGAAATAACGTATCTCGGGTTTTAGGACCCGGAATCTGATGATTCTAAAACGAGGTTAAAGATAACAATATGAACTATAAGAAAGACTATATATTCACTCAAAACAAGTAAATATTGATGTTGTAAAGGTTCAATGAAAGTTCTGATTCTAGGTTATTAAACGAACGAATTTAGATCAAGAAACGTGTTCTTGAATGATCAAGAACTAAAAAATTCCTAAAGTCACCACTTGGAATCAATTAATGTGATAAAGAAACACCACACGCAATTAAATACAAGATAAAGACTATCGCCACCTTTCTTGGAACCAAAAACATGGATAAAGAAGACAAAATAGAGAAAAATACTCTAATGCAAATTAGGGTAAAGCTCAAAAAACGTGAATTTCCTTCTACAAGGCATGAGAACCTTTTATATAGGCCTAGGGTCTCTTCTTTGATAACTATAATTCTATTCTAATAAGGAAATGAAATTACTAAAGAAAAGGAAAGTAAAGTCCCTATTATACAAGGAAAAGAAACTAGAATCCTACTAAAAGGAAAATCCTTATTCTAAAAGGAATAAAATAAATCCTATTTTAAGAAGGAAAGAATCTTGGCTTCTTGAAAACAATCTTGAGCTTCTTGGACTTCTTGCGCTTCTTGAAAATAAGTCCATATATTTGGACTTGAGCTCTAAAATACGATCTTGGCAAAAATTTATAAAATTTAACATAGATTCTTCTTTTATATCATATTGGCTTTGAATCTAGAAGGAGTAGTGAAGGAGAACAACAATAGGAGGCATTTCCGGGATCAATTGCACATTGCTAGACTAATGGCTTGTTTGGCCAAGCTGCTAAAATCAACTTATTTTGAGAAGTGATTTTTTCAAAAGTATTTTTGGTGAAAAAGAGTTTGTGTTTGGCTAATTAATTTGAAAAGCTCTTCTGAGCAGCAGTTAGTGTTTGGCCAAGCTTTTAAAAACTGCTCCTAAGTGTATTTTTCTCAAAAGTGTTTTTCGAAAAAGTGTGTTTGGAGAGAAGCTACTTTATTAGGCTTCTCCAAAATTGCTTCTGCTTCTACTCAAAAACATTTTTTGCTTTTAAAAGTTTCCAAACACTTCAACTTTGAAAAAAACACTTTTGTTGAAAAAAAATGCTTTTGACTTTGGAGAAGCTTGGCCAAATAAGCTATAATTTTAAGAAATATATGTTATTTTTGTCAGTATAATGTGATGACCCAAGGGGTCATCGCTTGCTTTCAGTTGATTTCTGTGTCTCCGAGGCCTTGAAAACCTCATTAGAGTCGCCTCGATTTACATGTGCAGTCTGGGCGCATAGCCGGAAAGCTTAAATATGATAATCTGTGAAAAACGATAAGTTTCGATTATAGAATGAGCTAATTTGACTTCGGTCAATGTTTTGGGTAAACGGACCCGGACCCGTGATTTAACGGTCCCGGAGGGTGCGTAGGAAAATATGGGACTTGGGCGTATGCCCAGAATCGAATTCCGAGATCCCAAGCCCGAGAAATAAATTTTTAAGTGAAATTGTTTAAGGAAATTTGAAATGAAAACTGACTAGAAAGTAATGGTATCGGGCCCGTATTTTGGTTCCAGCGCCCGGTACAGGTCTTATATATGACTTGAGTCATTCCTGTGAAATTTGGTTAAAAACGAACGTCGTTTGATGCGATCCATACCTTAATTGAGAAATTTGATGTTTAAAAGAGTTTTGAGAAATTTCATTGATCTCGAGGTTTAATTCAATGCTCGTGATGTTATTTTGGTAATTTGACTACACGAATATGTACTTAGGATTTTTTTGAAGTTGTGTGTGTACTTGGGTTGGAGTTTCGAGGGCTCGGGTGAGTTTCGAGTAGGTTCCGGGATGCCTTAGGCTTAGAAAGTCAGATGTTGCAGATTCAGGAAGTTGCAGGTCTATGAACCCTTTAGTGCGATCCTCAAGAAATCGCGTGCGACCGCGGAGGGGCTAGTGCGGCCGCGGTCGCCTTTGTGCGGAGCTCGGTGGAGGCTGTGCGACCGCAGTCGCCTTTGTACGGTCCGCATAGGGTGCTGAACTGCAGGTCTTCCGGGAGGCCTGTGCGGCCGTGGTCCATTTGATGCGGTCCGCATAGGGGGTCTGAGAGGGATATAAATAAACGGGAATTTCAGCTATTTTTCACTTTTCAAAACCCCAAAAACATAAGAGACGATTTTTCAAATAACCTTTCTTCTCCAAAACATTGGTAAATAATTTCTAACTCATTTTCTTCACTCCTTAACATCTTTTAACATGATTTCAACTTCAAATCAAAGATTTTCATTGGGGAAAGTGGGTGTTTTGGGTAGAACCTAGGTTTTTTCTAAATTGGGGATTTGGACCTCAATTTGAGGTCCCATTTCAAAACAAATTATATATTTGGATTCGTGGGGGAATGGGTAATCGGGTTTTGGTCTGAACCTCGGGTTTCGACCACGTGGGCCCGGGGGTGATTTTGACTTTTTGGGTAAAACTTTGGGAAAACTCATTTTCATGCATTGGAGTTGATTCATTTAGCACTTATTGATGTAATTAAGTTACTTCAGACTAGATTCGAGTGGATTGGTGGTGGAATCAAGGGGTAAAGCTATAATTGAGTCTTGAGTGGTGTTCAAAGCTTCGAGGTAAGTGTTTGGTCTAACCCTAGTTTTAGGGATTAGGAGTTGAGTCATACTTGCTACTTGCTTCTTGTTGAGTACGACGTATAGACATGGTGACGAGTATCTATACATTGGTGTCAAGCATGACCGTGGGTCTTAAATTGAAAGTTGTTGTGTTCTTGAATGACACTTTGTATGATTTAATTAATGATCTTCTATGATTGAGCATTT